CCTGACTGTGAGCCAGCAATGTGTGCTCACAGCCCAGAAAGCCAACTGTGCCCTGGGCTGCATCAAGAGAAGTGCACTGGCACAGGTTGCCCCGAGAAGCTGTGGCTGTCCCCTCCCTGGAAGGGCTCAAGGCCAGGTTGGACGGGGCGTGGAGCAACCTGGGCTTGGGGAAGGTGTCCCTACCCGGGGCAGGGGGGTTGGAACTAGGTGATCTTTAAGGTCCCATCCAACCCAAACCATTCTATGAGACAGACCTCCCACAAGAGGAATGCATCTTTGGAAAAGAAGACATGATCTACAAAGGCCTCCTCTGTTGTCAGCACGTGGATAGAGTCTGATAATGTGAATAATGAATGAACTCCCCAGGTCAACAGTAGACTCCTTGATCTGCTTTAGGAAAATTTCCTATTCTGTCCTCTGGCATGAAACGGACATGCTAGAACTGTTGGGTTTTTTCCTTTGATCCAACTGTGAACTAAATGTTTTTAGGTGCTTGGTTTTTTTTAACCACAACTGTTACAGCATAGTACATCACTATGGTTGTAGACAGCCTGCCTTCTACGTTGCTAAAAGACTTGCATCAAAGCATAGCACTAATTTTAATGGATGGTCTATGAAAGAGATTGCTGCAATTGGCACAAAAATAATTCCCAAACTGTATCCTCATGTTATAGTTAATTCATAATCAAAATGCCATAAGACCAGGTCTGTCTTAGAATTTTATATAATTCTGGCTGTAAGACTCCCCTTGAAAGTTCATTTTAAACTTTTAGCAACTCTCTTAAGTCCCTTTTAAAGATTAAAAGACTTTCTTTGCTGCTGTGACTTTCCAGAAGTGCACCAGCAAATATTTAAGAATAACTGTCTCCGCTCCACCAGCAATAATTGAATTTTTTCCCATCCAGAAGTTTTATTCTGAACAAGACCACTATTAACTTTTCTAATTAATATTCTCAAGATTGCACATATGTTCTTTTGGAGCTTCCTCTTGCAAAAAATTATGGACATGAGTCTCCTTCCATCGGTAAATCTGGAAGGAGACTCAGTCCCTCTGGGCTCAGTGGAACTACTTAGAGGACTGAAGCTGTGCAATGCCTGTGAAACTATGGTCAAAGCCTGTATCCCCTTCAGTCTAATCCGTCTGAAACAGCCAGTATTTTCTGTGTCTGGATGATGACAATGGAGTCAAACTATGAGACATCTTGCCTTGTCCAGGCATAGAGCAAGAAAGATTTTTAAATGGCTGTTGGTCCAAAATATCAACACATACAATGATCGAATAGGTTGGGTTGGAAGGGAACTTAAAGATCACCTAGTCCCAACCCCCCTGCCCCGGGCAGGGACCCCTTCCCCCAGCCCAGGTTGCTCCAAGCCCCGTCCAACCTGGCCTTGAGCCCTCCCAGGGAGGGGGCAGCCACAGCTGCTCTGGGCACCCTGGGCCAGTGCCTCACCACCCTCACAGTGAAGAATTTCTTCCTCATAACTATTCTAAATCTACACTCTTTCAGTTTAAAATGGTTACGCTTCATCCTATCCCTATACCCCCTGGTAAAGAGACCCTCCCCATCTTTCCTGTAGCCCCTTTTAAGCACTGGAAGGCCACCATAAACCCTCCCCAAAGCCTTCTCTTCTCCAGGCTGAACACCCCCAACTCTCTCAGCCTGTCCTCCCAGGGGAGCTGCTCCAGCCCCCTGAGCATCTTCGTGGCCTCCTCTGGACCCGCTTGAGCAGGTCCGTGTCCTTCTTGTGTTGGGGTCCCCAGAGCTGGACACAGCACTGCAGGGGGGGTCTCACAAAAGCAGAGAGGGAGAATCCCCTCCCTCGACCTGTTGCCCACACTGCTCTTGATGCAGCCCAGGGCACAGTTGGCTTTCTGGGCTGTGAGCACACATTGCTGGCTCACAGTCAGGTTTCCATCTGCTAATACCCCCAAGTCCTTCTCCTCAGGGCTGCTCTCCATCCACTCCTCACCCAGCCTGTATCTGTGTTTGGGATTGCCCCGACCCATGTGCAGGACCTTCCACTTGGCCTTGATGAACTTCATGAGGTTTGCATGGGCCCGCCTGTCCAGGTCCCTCTGGATGGCACCCCTTCCCTCCAGTGTGGTACCGCACAGCTTGGTGTCATTGTCAAACCTGTTGAGGGTACACTCCATCCCACTGTCCATGTCACCAACAAAGACGTCTCAGGATAACTTATTCTCCAACATGATAATGATGAGCTCGTTTTTGTCACTTTTCCCCAGTACCCCATTTCCAGCCAATGCAAATGCAACTGTTGTTCTTTGCATGGCTGTGCACATGCACGAGCTCCAAGGATGACCCAGATCTTAACCTTCTTGTCCTCATCCATGACTTTTTGTTGCAATCTGTGTTTTTAGAGCTAAGTTTTTGGTCTTCCAAAACAAAGGTGTCATGGTTTCACCTTTGTTTCAGCAGAAAGACTGGCTGGGGCATTTCCCCCATGTGTCTTCTTTTGCCCTCTCCTTGCTTTCCGCTTCCGTTGTGCCTACCCTCTTAGCAGAGTGGTGGTGAACGACCACCAGTACAGAGGAAGGCATGGACTTACTTCGCCAAGGAATGTCTTTTGACCCAGAGCCCTGGTGTGAGCTTCTCTGCTGCAAACTTAACTTGATCCCTACAAAACTTTGCTTCTAATCTTCCTCTCTCGCAGGTAGAACTGACTCATTTATACCCAAAGCCAACAACATGATAGTGATTTCTCATTCTCAAAAGCTCATCCTACCTAGCTAGCTGGGATTCCGGTAGGAGCTCTGCCAGCAGTCACATCTTCAGCTACTGTATAGGCATACCTGTTGACTGCTAAGCCATCCACTTGCAAGAGAACACGTAAGCTTTGCTTATTTGCCCTTCTCTCACTTAGTCACAGAGAGTTCTCCAGAGTTTTTCCCAAGGTTTTATGAAAATCATCTGGTAGGGCACCTAAAAGTTTTAATGTTGTAAACAAGTAAACAAAATCTGCAGCTTAGAAGGCCAAATTTCAATTTGATTTATTTTATATTCCATAGAGTTTCACTGGTGACAATGGTTTTATACAGGTTGTAAGTGCAAAAGAATGTGACCCAGGGACAGGCTTCATGCTCCTCTGGCAAATGCTGCCTCCCATCTGTTTGTCAGTATTAGAATGTTTCTTCATTGGCAGAGGAAAAGCAAAATGTACAAAAGGATCCAGTAAACTATTCCATACTATCGTCAGTACAACCAATTGCATACAGTCATTACTCTGATAATGATGTAGCCTCGTATTTTAGCCAACTGTCAGAAGTCTTCAACGCAATACATGTAGCGACTAAATGACGTACCAGCGGCACATGAAATGGCAAAATCTTTGGAACAGGAAACAAGATAAACAATTCCACGCCTTTACATTCTACCTAGAAAATAGTGTCTTGTGATATAAAATTCCTACTTTGTGGCTCCTCTTGTTAAGTGCTTTTTTGTTATGTCAGGCAAAAAAATTAAAGTCTTAAATAGATATATGTCTTTATGTTGTGCACCTGCTTTTACCTCCAATTTGTGTATATCCTCTGTGAGCCCTGTTAACTGGAGAAAAGTGTAGAAGAGGTTCTGCGTGGGCTGAAAAGGAGTTAGTTACTGTGAACATTTAGAAGGTTCCCAAAATTTGTATAACCAGTTTAAACTTGAGATACTCTTTTGCTGGGGAGCTGTTTTCTGATGACAATATACAGACATCTCTTGTCCATTCAGAGGATCCAGAATTCCTCGGTGACAAATACGTGCCAGAGATTTCAGCTAACTTTCAATCATTCTTGAAGATTATGGATGTAGTTATTCCATAAACCAAACTACCCAGCTGCAGTTGCAAATTTTTATTTGCAATATTGGAAGCTATATTAAAGTCTGGCTAAAAGCTAACTTCCAGCTTGAGTAACCATGCTTTGAAAATTGTTTCTAAATTCCTCATCTGTAGAGCTTTAACAAGCTCTTTAAGGGGGATGGGAACCTGGATTTAGGAAAGTGCACAGCACATAACATGTCACGTATATAACATAGACAGTTGTTTTGTGGTGTACGCAGGGTTAGTTCTGCTTGTGGAAAGCAAGTGTTTCTTTTTCAGAAGGAAACCCCTGATCTAAACGTGAGGAAGAAGCACCTTTGTACCTCTATTTTATGACACGCCTGCCCGTTGCCTGTGAGGGAGACAACATAAGCCCCTCTGCGGCTCTGGCAAATACACACGCTGGCTGTTCACAAACCCCTATTCATTCAAGGGGAAAGGTTCAGCAGCATCCCCAAGGTCTATCTATAACTGAACCCACGCATGCGGCATTTAGCGTGTGGAAGTTAAAATACACCTGCTAGAGTTGCAGCTGCCCATTAAGCACTGCGTTAGGTTACTCAGGTCTTCAGTGGTGCTGTGATCTGGCATGCTGCTCAAGCATGGCTCCATTCCATTACTGACATGTTACTTTGGACAAGTGTAATGCCATTCACGAAATTAGCTAATTAATTTACTGCACACAGATTACTCTGTGGTGCTCCAAGAGTGCCTGCCTGCCACTCGCTTCCCATGCAACTTTTCCATGTAGTCAAGTCCGAGTGCGGCTCCAAGTTTATTTCAGTGCATCTAAAAATATTTCGCAATCCTTCAGGTCATAGCAGCCTACTGTTTATTCGCTGCCAGACGTCCTGACAGGGCAAGCGGTACAGAGCAGGCACTCTGGGATCAGTTATTGCGACATCACCCCCCTGTTGTAAAAGCCACAGAGTTCCGTTTGCACCGATCCGGGCTCGCTGTAGGCCGACCACCGCGCTCCGCAGACGACGGTTCGATTTTCTGAACCTTGGGCCTACGCGCTCCGAGCCAGCACAGGAGCAAGGGCGGCAGGCAGACCCCGGCCCCGGGCCGCCGGCCGACCCCCGGGGGGGGGTGTCTCCCGACCCCCGCGGCGGGGTCCGGCAGGCAGCGGCCGTGTCCCCCGCCCCCAGCCCGGCGGCGGCGGCGGGGGGAGCCGGCGGGGCCGTCGGCGGCGGCGCCGGGCCGGGCAGGGGGTGGGGAGCGCCCGCCTCTCGCGGCTCGCAGCCGGGTGCCTCCCGCGGGCGCGGCGGCCCGGCTGGCTACCCAGAGTGCAGCAGGCAGGAGGCGGCGGGCGGCACCGGGCTGCCGGCGCTCTCCCGGCCCCAGGCGGCGGCGCGGCCCAGAATGCGAGTGTGAGATGCTTCCCCCGGCAGCGGCGCCCCGGGCCCAGGCGGCGGCGGCCCCCGCGTGGATGCGGCTCTGGAGCCGGCGCTTCGCCCTCCACAAACATTTCTATAGGACTCATTCGCCCTGCTGAGCAGATCGGCTCGGGCCCGGCCGACTCTCCCCCTCGCCGCCCCCTCCGCGCCGCGGAGCGGCTCCCTCACAGACTGCGGGCCCGGCCTGGGCATGGAGGCCCCCGGCGGCGCCTCGCCGCTCAGCCCCGCGCTGGTGGGCCGCCTCCGCCAGGAGCACCAAAAGGTAACGGCGGCGGCCGGGCCGGGCCGCACCGGGGGATGGGGTGGGGAGGGGTGGGGGACGGGCGGGATTTGGGGGGGGGTGGGGGGGGTGGGGGTTGGGGGAATGGGGAGGCGGCCCCCCCGGGAGGGATTTGGGGGGGGGGGGGGGGGGGCGGCCCGCAGGCGGCACGCGCCGGGGCCTGCGCGCGGCGGGCGGGCACGTGACGGCGCTGACGTCACGGTTGGCGGTTGAGGCGGGTCGTCGCGGCTGTCGGTGCCCGGCGGGCCGAGGGCGCGGGGGGGGGGGGGGGGCGGCACGGGACGGGCGGACACACCGGGACGAACACACCGACCCAGAGCACCCCCCGGGAACGGGCCGGCGCTGCGAGACCGGCTGCGCGGGGAGGAAGGGCGGCGGGGGGCGGGCCGTGGGCGCCGTTATCGCAGAGGCCGCGGCGGGCGGGAGCGGCAGGCTGCGAGTGGCGGGGCGGCGCCGGGCCTGCCCGCGCACACCCTGCGCGGTGCCGGCCGAGCGCTCGCCCTCACCCGTGCGTAACGCAGCGCTCTCGCTAACCCCCGCGTTACACCTTCGTTCCGCTTCTCTGTGGGGTTTCCCGGCGCGGGGCCGGTCACTCACCTTTGTAAAACACGGTCCTGCGGGTAGATCCCGTGCGGGGGCCCGCGGGGGCCCGAACTGGCCATTTCACGGGCCGGCTTGAAGAGTGGGTGTGTCAAAAATTAATTGTTCATGACTTGCCTTTAAAAACACTGCTTGCTTTGAAAGAGCCAAAGTTCTCTGCAGAAATGATTCCTGAGGGTTTGGAGGCTGGTTCTGCATGTGGCCATAGTATAAAACTGGAGATGCTCCTGCAGATTGCACTCATGGTCTAAGGCAAGTGGGCTCTTCTAGTCTAATGAGTGTGGTTTAGGGCTTGCAGGTCCCAGCCTTGCAGTGAGCCATCTGTGGGAGCAGGGGTCACTGTGGAACTCGTGGTTATGGGCAGCGTATTAGTGACACAAGTATGTTTGCCCCGTCTGCACGGCTTTCAATTTTTCTGCTCATTATTCTCATATGATTAAAATTCTTTAAAGCTGCTTTAAAATCCTAGAAAGTCTCTGAGAAGCACATTAGAACCTCCTCAGTTATAAAAAAGGACCCCGTCTTCAGTGTGTATTGTTTTAGTTAAGTGTTAGTTTAGAGTAAGAAAACTGAATAACATGTAAGTGGTGTAAAAAATGCATCCTATCTGGAATACCATGTGCAAAAATGTGTGTAGTTTTGAATAGCACACTAGATCATTACTGAAATATCTATGTAACCAACTGACCATTAATATGGATGAACAGTAAGAGGATCTGCTGGAATACTCTGCATCATCCATTCTGCACAGACAGTAACCTGTTGTGCCAGTAATTGGTGATAGTAACTCATCTGCTTGGGCTCCTGCAGTTGATTTTCAAGGTGGTAGAATTTGGTGAAGTATAATTTCTCTGGTACATTAGTGTCAGTCAGGCCTAATGTGTAAGCGGATGCCTGTTGTAACTACCAGAGTTGTTACCAGTTCATGGTAAGACCCCTCTGTAAGCAAGTTTAAGACTCTTAAACAGATCTGCTGCAGTGGAAAAGTGGCCCAGGAGACCATTAATTAAGCCTCTGTTAGACTGATGTACCAAAATTGTATTTTATTATAGGGAAACTTTACATAATTTCTGTAAATTGGCTAAAAAAAAATTGAACACTTCAGCTTCAATATGAAATTATATTAAAGAACTACATATCTTGGTGCAATGGAGTGTCATGATGAAGACATAGTAGACTTTCCCTCTATGCAATGAATATATGTAATTGGATTACAACAGTATTTTCAGTTACGAAAATACTGTATTTTAAGATAGAGGAGGTAATTTCAGCTGCCTCTTCTCAGAGATTCATATTTTTCTCACAAAATTACTGAAGTTGAATGCTCATGTTTTGGTCTTAGCACAAAGATGAGGGAGAATTAGTTATGCAGTACTTTGGTAAACTAGTAGTCGTAGTATGAGTATCATAACAAATAGTAAAGTTATGTAGCCAGAACTCTACCTATATATACTGGCATTTAAGCAGGCACATATATTTATTTTAATTACTGTGATGTTGTGCTGTCCCAGTGACTCTTGATTAAGTATAAACCGATTTATTTCCATTAGTCTGAAGGCAACATTTGGTGTAATAGTGAAATACAGCATTATGTATGTGCAGAATCAAAGATAGTATTTGAATCACGGTTGATTATTTTAACATCTAGGCCATTTTATAACCGTGGTTCAGCTATGAGTGTGAGCTTTTAAGTGCTAAAGAGCTGCTCTGGAGAACACGTGAACTGAGGCTTCCTTCCTGTTTGAAAACATTAAAAGAACAGGATGTTCGTGACTTTCTATCTTTAATCTGATTGAGGCTGCAACTTTCAGGTTTAGGACCCCTGGTGAAAAGTAATTTTAATTCTTGTTTAGGACTGCTTGCCTGTTGGACAGATTTCATCTTGTTAATTTGTAGTGATAGTAAGAACAAACTGTTAAAAGCAATTTTCAGTGCTCCCACTAAAGGCACTTTGTATAAAAACATGACTTGGAATGTGTATCTTGGGGATAAATTATAGAAGAATATCTAGTAATTTTCATGATAAAGACCATCATTGGAAGCACAGTGCCTGCATAAAGTTTTGAATATTTTGTAGGAAGAATATAATGTATGTATCATGGATTACTTGCAAAAGCAAGTTGGCTGAAAATACTGCGTTAAATCTATTGCAAGTTAGTACAGGAATTATAAAATGAATATTTAAATAGGTGGATTCTCATGCTATAGAGCCTGCATTTAAACATAATATTTGATAGACATTTATTCCTACAATCAAATGAGTTGGGATTACTAACTGGTAGAAGTTGATAAGTTGGATCTCTGTGATTTGGTAAGACTTGTGTAGACAGTGAATTTACAGTAGGTTGATGGGTTCTATAGCTTCTGAGCAATGCAATGAAGATATGCGTAATGGGAGACATTACAGAACCAATTAGGCCCAAGAGACATTTGTAGAGTGCAAACACAGGCATGGAGAATCGAAAGGATTCCAGTACTAGCTGGCAATGTGGGTTTGGTTTTTTGGTTTTGTTGTTTTTTGTGTTTTGGTTTTTTTTTTGGTATTGCACTGACAAACACATTCTTTTATTTTCCTTTTTAGGAAAATTAGGACAAGGAAGTGACTGTCACTCATCATGACAACAAGCACCAATTAGATTTAGTGCTGCTATTACCGTAACTCATTGGCCACTGTATTATGACATACTCTTAATTTTTATGAATTTAAATGGTGGAGCTGTATGATCATCAATTTCCAAATTGTTTTCAAGATCATGGGTACTTGATTTTTTTTAACAGCTAAACAACTTGTAGGTGTGTTATGGGGAAACAAATTGCAAAATCCAAAACTTATGCTACTTTAAATTCTTTCCTCTTCTTCTTATATGAATTACTTCTGGAGCTGGCTGCTTCTGTTTAAGTCTTTTTCAAGTAGTATCTGTGCTATGAAATCAGCAGCTTGGCAGTTTTAAAACTGTTCCTGCAGTATGAGAAAGAGCAGAGAGACTGAGTAGGGTCTTGTATACTTCACACTGCTACAGGAGCCACTGGAAATCTGGAACTGCTTGCCTGCAGACTCAGCAGATGAGATTCAGTGTGCTTTCCAGTGCAGTGTCTCCCAGGGTATTGCACTTTTTCCAAACTACATCCAAGTTAACAGAATCTAGAGGAAGCCTGGGTACAAGACACTGGTGCAGTAGAACTTGATTTTTCACAGTAACTGTTGGAGAAAAGTTAACAGAGTGCCGGAAGCTTGGTTTGACATACTCCTTTTTAAAAGGACCTGTCTGAAGTTTCATTTGCCATATTCCTTTTCAAAAGGTACCTGGAAAATTACCTCTTCAGAAACTTGTGATGACATCCACTCCACCCTTTCCAGTGCTTTTTTGTAATGGTGGGTTCCAATAATGTTTTCTCATGTGCTGCTTTCAAGTAAAAGGGCTAATTTGGTCATTATCTGGAAGCTTTTAATGTAGTACTTCCTGTTCCTCTGGTGGTAATTGATCACCACTTTTACTTTTTCAGTCAGTATTTGTGTATGTTCTTATTAGTATGAATTAAATAGCCACTGGTTTATATAGTGTCAAGAGTTGTGAAATAAGTTAACAGATCTTAAATAGTTTTTTTTTGAATGGTAATTAAAGTCAGACTATTTGCAAAAGAGTTTAAAGAGCATTGCCTTTATTCTGGAGTGGGCAGGTTTGTATGTGTCCTGCCTCATTGGTAACTAAAATGTTTAGATGAGCTTATATCCACAACATTTAAATGCTACTAAATTGTGCTGCTTCTGTAGCTGTCTGTGGATTCTGTGAGTAGATGTAGTGACCAGGTGTTTGGGAATCATATTTAGTATCTCTAACGTCTTTGCAGGTCTCCATTCCAGAAGTTGTGCTCATAACCTGTCTTCTCAGATTGACTTGGGTACCCCTTGCCTCATGTATTTCTTTCCTCCTTTGAGATTGTGAAATTGTGTTTTAAGCTGAAGCTCCAGTGTTGCAGATGGATATGCTAGTTTGGAGCTTGCTGTCTTGAGGCCCTCAGAGCAGCAACTGCACTGAGACTTCCATTTTTTTGTAGTGTGGCATTAGGACAGTGGGCTGCACTGTGGAGTTCCTGATTTTGGGGTTCCTCTTGTCTGTTAGCATAGGCTGCAAATTTCACTGTCATAAAAAGGGTGGATTCCTCCACCACTTTTGTACTAACACTTGTGATCAGACTGCTGTGGGGTAAGAGAAAGGCAGTAACACATGCCAAAATGGTCATGTCAGATGCCAACACGAATGTGGCAGGGGAAATGCAGAGCCAGTGGTGGGTGAAACTGGACTGGCCCTTTGAGCTGTGGCCATGTTCATATCAAGTCGGAGCAGTTGCGAGCAACAGTCTCGGTTACTTGTTCAAAAATT